CACTGATTTCAAGTGCCCAATGTAACTGAGGCTTACTATTTTCTCATAAGGAATAAATTAAGAGCTTCCTTTTAATTTGTTCTTAGCAATATATACATAATTTTCTGTTTATTTGGAATTTCCCCAATTTTTCTTTTTTTTATCTGTAGGTTTAGAAGTTGGGAGGGTCATACAATTAGTGAGTTACACACATGAAATGCAAGCTGAAATTTGATCCTTATCTTATATATGGTACTTTGATTCACAATTTTAAACTTGCAGAAGTTGCAATGTTAAAACTATTGAGTGAGATCCCAGTGCATCTGTTAGATTCAATAATAATAAAAAAATTGTTTTAATATATGTATTGGTTGTCAAAAATTTAAATTAAAAATACTTACTGTATTTCTAATCAAATTTTAATATTTTTTCAAATTATGAGAAGAAATATTTATTTTTAACAGAGTTTAATTTAAAAAAAAAAGCAAAAAAATAAACTGAAGTGAAATATACAATAATTGACTTACAAATATAGTAATATTCTCAGTTTATAAACATTTTGATTAGCTGAGAATATTGACTATATATGTGAACATATACATTAAATATTAACAATACTGTATATGTATCAATATGCTAAACATATTACATTAGCACAATGACTTCATCATCATTAGAATTTCTTATTCAGTACCAGAATTTCTGCACATTCTACCACTATACCATTTTCATTGACGTCACGTTCATTTTCAGATTCAATAATCAAATTTTTATCATTTAAGTCAAGTACTATCAGCTGTAATTTGATAACAATTTCATCATAATTTGATATATCATATTTTCCATTTTCTATCTGAAAATGGAAAATATGATATATGTGATATTTTCCATTTTCTATCTGAAAATGGAAAATATCACATATCAAATAAACAATCTTAAAAACATTCTAAAAAATTAACAAAATAGTTTAAATAGGTCAATGTATCTCTAAGATACAAATTAAGGTAGTGTTAAGAAGAATGTATAGTTACACCTAACAAAGAACTGATGAAGCAATGCTAGCTAATCATTGTTGTCAGTCTCTTAACAGTAACTACACAAAGTTGCCAGATTCTATACGTTGAAACAAAAATATTTAAAAAGTTATTCTAAGTATATCTGTGAGATCAGCTGCAACACAAAAGGTTAAGTTTTGTTTCTTGGCTTTAGAACAAGCAATCTGATTTGCAGATTTTGTAGTCAAGTGCAAGTTCTACATATATATTAATTTTTTATTTAAACAGAAATTTTATAAAGAAAAATATGAAAATAAGTTTGTGTATTTATTTATATAGTGTTTATAAATTTTAAAAATTTGACAATAAAAATTTCAATTTTTTTTTGTTCTTTTAAACAATTTGTATTTGCAGGTTTCATATCTTTAAGGTAAGAACACCTATACCTATTCAAATAGTCCATTATGAATAACTATACAATAAAGTTAGATAATACAGTAGAGTGTCGTTTATCCGAAACATCAGTTATCCAAAAGAATTCCAGTCAGCAAATTTAAATTTTCACTAGTGCTGTGGTGCTGCAATCTTTGGCTATATCTTGGGCTACTCCAATATTTTTTTGTTGGTGTGTGTTTTTTAGCTGGCAGCACTGGCACTTTTGTGTGGTGTTTTTCTGAGGACTGTGTGTCGTGCTGAGTCGAATGTTTTTGATACTAGATTAACTTCTAAAGTATAATTTTTTTTGTTTTTATATTTTTCAATATATTTATTTTGTTTGTAAAAAATAAAGAAATAATTTTTAACGATGCAATAGCCACGATTATTATTTTGAAAAGTTTACATTAGGCTTAACATCGACAAAAATTCAACGCGAAGCGACACGCAACAGAGAAAAATTTCAACATGGGATAGGTTAATGTATTTTTTTGTATGTAATTGGTTATCCGTAAAATAAGTTATCCGAACAACCCCAGTCCCCAATTGATTCGGATAAACGACGCTCTACTGTACGTTTGAAATATCAAAACCTAAACACAGTAGATCCTAAAACTCAACGTAATATGGATGGAGAAGGTGACAAGTTAACAAAAATGACAAATTTTACAGCAGAGTGATGATCACACATTCAACAATATTTAATATCATATGAAATTTATTGAGGCAAAGCCCCTTCTATTTGCCTTACAAAATTGTTTGTTCTCAAAATCTGTTCAATTGATTTTGGTTACACTTTGTAATATTTCATTAATTGCAATAAGGAAGCCAAACATGTAATAAAAAATAAATGCCCATTCCATGACTTTGTCGTAGCAAAAGCATGCACAACAAAGTGATATTGTGCAAATTGTACAACTTTATTGTGCAATGCTCCATGATTGCTAGGATGCCTTCTGTGGGCTTATACAACTGAGTTCGTTCTCAAAACGTAATGGCCGATTTTGATAAAATTGCCAATTTCCATTAATTGTGATGAGGAATCCAAAAATGTAATGTGGGTTCATTTAAATGCAAAAATAAAAAATAAAAGTCCATGACTTCATTTTCAACATACAAAGGCATTAAAGTGACAATGTCCATGCTTTCTGATGCAAGTGAGCACACCTAACAGAATTTATGCCTAAGGGCCAAAAATAAAAACAGCATTGCCTGTGCCTAATGGAAAATAAGTGCAAAAAATGAACAAACCACAAGAACAAAGTAATTGACGGCAATTGCTTTGTTCTTGATTGCCTCTCCATGTCTGCCAGTGCAAGGATAGCCTCTTTTGTGATGGCAAGTGCAAAGTTCACCTGTCCACATTTGTCAGGTATAAAGATCATCTCTTCTATGCCTAATTAGTGCAGAGATTGTTTCTTTCTTTCCTGCTTTGCCTCAATTCTATGGCGATATGACAAAGTTGTGCAATGTCCTAGTTAAAACAAAAGGATAATGTTTCTATGCTTTAGTAAAATACAATATTGTGAGAAGGCAAAATATTTGAATATTAAAATTACATAATAATAATATTTGTTTACAAATATGTTATCAAAAAGAAAATACCCAGAAAAATTGTGATTTTTGAACAACTATTCTTATACTAATATTAATTCATTTATCATTAATGTGTTAATTGATTCCTAAAACAGACAACTTGTCAACTTACAACCAGAGAGAAACAGAGATTTATTTATTACAAAATTTTTAAATTATAAAACATATTTTAGCTATAATTTACATTAGCCCTTAAGTATTAAATAAAATTTAAAAGTATCATATAACTTTAATTATATTATATATAACTATTCCAGAAAAATATTAGTAAAACTTTATTCAAAAACAAGATCCTCAATGAAAATTTTCACGGGGATGAATTGTGCAATTTGAAATGAATTTGCATGGCTGTTTACATATTAGCTTAATTCATATTCGATAATGCATCAGATTGATATTTAACAACATTTGAAATATACCATTTTTGCTAGCTATGAAATTTTGTTCAATTCTTATCCCAATATTTTCAATTCACTTAGTTCTCTTCTATCATTTTTTCTATGTAATATTTTTCAGTTAGTTTCATCAAAAACAAGCACATTATGTACTATTACTTTGTTCTTGAAAAATTTCACTTGAAGTCTTGCCTCTTGTTAATACAAACTAATTCTATACAGGGTTGTTTGGATTAATATGATTTGATATAAAAAACCAGGAAATCAAAAAGAACTATAAACAAACACATATTTTTAAAAATTTTGGTACATATGTTTATGTTAAAAAATACAGAGGATGAGTCATAAGTTGTAGTAGATTGCAACTTGCACATGCATTTCTGTACCATGTTGAATATCATTTGGTTAGTAATCTATTATACATTATGAATGAAAACTCTTTTGAAAATGAAAAGAAAACATTACTTACCTATAGAAAAAGCAAGTATGACATTCAACAAAAAATGCAATTGAATAGTACTCTTTAAATCTAAATGAATTACTAAATCAATGTTCAAATGGAAAAATATTGATGATAATGAAACTGTACTTCATTATGATTTCTTAGAAGTGATAATATTTCTTTACATATATAAAATGGTATTTCTTAGCTTTGTTAATTAAAAAAATATAGGAGGGACAATAATAATGTACAGAATTAATATATAAAAAATGAATTAAAATTAGTCAACATCTATCCAGGCTAACAGAAATAATATACAGTATTTAAAATATGTATGGAAAAAGTAAAATTTAAAGAGATCCTTGAATAGAGAAGAAAGAATTATAAGACAGTAGAGGTTATGAAAGTTAAGAAAAATAACAGATTACATTGTTAATAAGGTAGTGAGATTTTATTTGATGTTGAAAATGTTATGTATAAAGTAAGTTTTTTTTTTAATATTTTAATTAAAATTTATGTAAACATGACTATTTATTTAATATTAATGATTTGTAGTAAGTACTAATTGTTAGTGTTAACAATTAAGTACTTACAACAAAGTACTTAAATGTGAAATTAAATTATCAATAAGTATTTAATATATTACATAATCTATTTGTTGAGTTAGTCAATTAATATGCATTTCAAAACAGAAATCTGAGATTTAAACATTAAAAAAATGAAACAATTAAATATCTATAAAATCTAATCACATTAGATGCTTAAAATAAACAAATGATTTGTAGTAAGAAGTCACCTATAATATAATTCATTAATTTAATATCTGCAGACATCACAATAAAATCTGTTTATAGCTATTAAAAATAAAGATAATTCAATATTAAAGTATGCAGTCTGGTATCAATATAAAAAGAAAGAAATGTCTGCAAAATAAAGTTCCACTAAATATTTGTATTTAAAAATCATTTTACAAAATTTCTGTTTTAGTAAACAATTATTGTATTCATTTTCATATAGTCTGAATAAATCCTAAATGTAGTACCTCATATTGTAAGATTTATATTAAAACTTTCTAGACTGTATCATTGCAAAATAAATTATATTTCTAAGAAATTATAAATATGAATTCAATAGGATATTGAAAAAAGTAATTTTTACCTTAAAGAACAAACAGGATGCACATGAGCACTAATTATTTTTGCAATGCCTCTAGTTAAAAAGTCCCAGACAACAATACGTCCATCATTGCAACCTACAGCCAGAAGAGTTCCACGTTTATTAAAAGCACAGGTTACAGCTAAACTGATGCAATCCAAAGCTCCATCAAATTCCTATATTATAGAAATAATATGACTCATTAGCATAAAAAGATAATACACTTGATTTTATCTTAATTTTTTAGTAATTTTTCTCTACTTTTATATAACTCTATATTTTAATACAAGTAATAATTTTATCATCTATTATTTTTCAATAAATCAGATCATTAATATATGCACTGTAGTAGTTCATTTAATTAATTCTATCTAAAATACAGTCAATCTTCTACTTAATGAATATGACAAGAGATTCCATTACAGTAGAACCTCGTAAACTCGGCCTAATGTGGACCGAAGGGTGGCCGAGTTTGTGAAAATGCCGGGTTATCGGGAATGGGGTTAAAAAAATAAGTACGAGTGTTTCCTCAGAAAATACTGTACTGTACTTGTATGTATTGTTTACTTGAGAATATAACAGAGAATAAACTGCCCAAATACCCTTAAACAAAGGAAAAGTACGTCCTTTATGAAGGCATAGAGCCTTTACTACATGAAAATGAAAATTAATGAATACACTGTGTACAGTAATTTACCTGATAAGACAGACCTCAGAAAAATACTTTATGAGAGCTTTTATACTTTTATAAAGCTGTCTATAATGAAAATTAATTAACTAAGGATTTTTTTGCCCTGCCAGGGTGTGGACGAGTTATCCGGAGTGCCGGGTTATCGAGGGCCGAGTTTTCGAGGTTCTACTGTATTACCAACTACCCATTTTTAAGCCATGAAGGAGGAAACAATCAGAAGAAATAAAATAACAGCAATAAAGCAAAAAAAGCTTAAAAATATATTATATTTGTGAAATACATTAAATTAAATCAGCAATATCAACCTCATTTGATACAGAAGGCTGCATCAATTACAGTTGAGCCTTAAATGGGCCACACAAACCAGACAAATTTTTTCTGAGTTCAAAATAATAGATAATGTGTTTTGAACCTTTTATTTAAAATAGTTTATTAATTATGTACTTTAATATCATATTTTCTTTATATGTAAAAATATATTTAAATCATATCATAATTAAAGAAACAATGTACACTTACATAAATTTCAAATATCACTTTTAATTAAGAAACAGTTATTACTTGTCTTATTTGATGATAATTTTGAAATACAAGGCAGTACAAAGTTACTCAATTTTTGAGTAAGAGTTGTGATCTTATGACATAAAACATATCATAAAATCATCACACAAGTCATCAGTAAGCAATAACTAAGATTCATGCTTACAATGTTTCATAAATTGAGAAAAGTGGTTGTAGAAGAGCAGCTGTTTTCATTAGCCTAGAACAGTGGTTCCCAAACTTTTTCGATTCCCGGTACCCTTACTAAATTCAGGTTTTCCCAAGGCACCCTATGTCAAATTCTAACAAGTAAAATTTGTAAAGTAGTGAAATAGCCAATAATTTTTTAATTAAAGAGTTAGGAGGTTAAGTAAAAAATAAATAAAACACATATGTAAGATAACAAAAAATGTAATTGAATAAATTTAATTAATTATAATTAGTGGGATAAATCATCACACATTTTCTCAAATCTTGGAATCAAACTGGACACAGTCACCCTCATTTCTATAATATATTAGTCACCCTTATTTCTATAATATATAAAAATTTTATATTTTGTGGTCCACACTTTGGAAACTGCTGGCCTAGAACGAGACAGGCATTTCTGGTGTAGGATGACTCATCATTCATAAGCAGTAAAGCAGTCTTTATTTTTGTATTTCATATCTATTTTTCTATGCAAACACATATACATAAATATACACCCATTTTTTTACTTTATCTTAACTTACTTGTTAGTAGTTAAAAAGAGTAAAAATAGATCTACTAAAAAGATAAGATACTGACAATAGAGTCAAATAGTATGAAATGGTGATGGATGTTCCATATCATTATGTGAAAGATTTTCAAACTCTCTCAAACTATACAACAATATAAGATTTGTGAGACAATACTAACTATCAAAACAAACTTTAATTTATCTGCTGAACAAAATTAGAAGTGACATAAAAATAGGAAAGAAAGCCTGCAATTCCAATATATTTTCAACTTCTATATACACTTTATTTTATTCTACTGGAAGCTTCCAAGTAGACACAGGCAATATTCACAGTGTTATTAAACAAAACAAAACATTCCTAAATGAGTAGAAATTGCTTTAGCACAGTAACAGCAAAAAGTGTATCATAACTCCTTACACCATACCATGGTAAAATTACTTGCATGAAAAGTTTCTTAAATATGATAATTCCTATTTATATTATTCATATAAACTTACATTAAATTGATGATTTATTTTTACATTAAAAAATGTGGATTATAGCAATATTTGTGATGCTCATCAAACAGTTGTGTCAGGTTACTATGACTAAAAAGAGTCATTCATTTGCTGCATAACTTTGTACCAGAGATTCATCTCAGGAAGTACAGCAATCACAAAAGCCAATCAAGAAGAGAGACTTGTTACTGAAAAACTTTGTACCATTCTTAGTATCATAGTTTGGAGTATATAATTGTGCTGCAGAAACTTTGAACACCAAATTCAAATATTTATCAGTAGGCCAAGACTTAATATTCATTAATATTAATATAATTCATTAAAAATAATCATTAGATAAGAATAAAATAAAGAAAGAAATAAATGAGTTAATATTCATTAAAAAGAAAATAAATTCTTCAAGAAAGCTCTTCTAAATATGGATGTAATATCTGATTTGAAGATATTATTTAGTTAAATATTTGATTTGATGTAATTTGGATCTGTATACAAATATCCCTAGAAAACTTGTTTTAAAAAGTAAGTTCACTGACAAAATTGCAGATTTTCCAAGTTCCAATGGATCCAATAAGTTGCCAGAATATGTTGGAATAACTCAAACACATCAATGTACATTTTACAAACCCATCATTACTATCTGCTAATAATGTACAGTAAATGTTTAGAATAAAGAGTTTAATGGGAGAATTTAAAATAATTCATTAATTTTAGTGCAAAAAGATATGAGTAATGAATATCATTCAAGTGATTTTTAGTTGAAAAACTAGCAAAGATTTTGAGCAGTCAGTTATTTAATAGTGCTGCAAACTGCATAAAAACAGATGACTCAGGACTGAGTGCTGGATTATGCTTGACACCATGTATTAAATGTTATAAGTTAAAAAAAATTAAAATTTTTTGAAATAGCATTCCATGTAACAAATTTGAAAAATGATTTATTTTTTATTGAATTCCATATTATTATTGCTTCATTATGACAACTTCCTTAACTATTTAAAATTTATTCATAAAGATGTTCAGAAATATAAATAAATGGCTATAATTTATCTCAGATTGATCATCATATATTCAGATTGAAACTGTTCTATGTGAGAAATCACTACATTCTAGTCATTTACAAATTCTATTATTATGTGCAATTATTCTGAAATATTATTTTATAACTTAAAAATTAATACATAATCATGCAGTAATGTTCTATAATTATTAAGTATATTTCTTCCATACTATGTGGTATTAAAAATAAATTAACATACTACAAAAGAATCTCGTTTTAATGGATTGTGGAACGATGGATTTCTTGGAATAATGAAATTTTTTCCAGATCTCTCCAAATCAATGTACTTTTACCTCCTTTTAGCAGATCTGTAACTTGGAATAACAAATTTTTTCTAGCCCCATCTATTGTAAAGTTTATGTTTTTCAATATATAGTTAATATTTAGGTGTTTCCAGGAATTTATAGAGTTCAATGATGCACTTGTTACATCTAGGATATGTACAATTGAAGAATTGTACGAACAGAGTCAGCAAGTTCATATAATTAAGAAGTAACTTAGTGAACATTCTGACACTGGTCCAAGTGTAGTGTCAAAATTTAGCAAGGCCATCAAGTCTTTCCAAGTCATGAAGACCTTTCTGATGGACTGTACATGCTACTGCTAATATCAAACAGTTGTATTCAATAAGCAGAAAAGCAGCATCAAAACAAACTGAAATGGATGAGTTTTTAACAAATTGTGGAATCAAGTGAAGTGTTAATGAGCATATGTAATTTGCCTCTTTGTGCTTATAGTTTATACAGTTTCTTTCAGCTTTGCTGTACATACGTATGGAATAATATACAGTCATGTAACATATGTATTTTTATAAATAAAAAGTAGAGATCCCAAAAGACTGAATAATTTCAAATACAGGTATTTCTTATATGTAGAGGGTTAAATAATGGATATTTTCCTGGATGTGTGGGAAATCCAGTGTTTGTGATATAATGGATTTTCAGAACGAATGATTTTTGGCGGTCCGAGCAAACCGTTAAAAACAAGATTCTACTGTATAAATTAATTTTAAAAAAATTTTTATACAGATGGGCATACTTTATACAAAATAATCAAAAATATAATGAAGCTCTGTGTCTTAATGCAGATTTTATCTGTTAAATCAGAACTCATGAAGTTGATATCACTAAATCAATGATTGACTGGATAGAAATACATATTTAGAAAAATAATTACATAAAAGTAATTTTAACACAACAACAAAATGAAGTGAATGATAAATACCTCAGGATAATTCTGTCCAAATGATTCTATAAAATAAAAAAGTAATAATTATTCTTTTTTATAATTAAACATTTTGTGAATAAATGTTATAGCTAATTAAATAATAAAAATATTTGTAGGAATAAAATAATATATAGAATGTCCCAAAAGGCAGTTTACAACTTCAAACTTTTATATTATATCTTAATTTTGAATTGACTTATAGGAACTTACTGTGGTTCAAGTGTTGTACTAACTCAAAAAGTTTTTGACAGGTATTAACTAACCTTTCTTGTTTATTGTGGGTAATGAGGACTGCATAATCTGAACATATCTGCTCAGGAAAAGGCACAATATATAACATGGTTTATTGAAACCAAATCAAACACACAAATGAAAATAAAGTTCAGATTATGATACAGGAAGTCACTATTCAGCCAGCCATATGTAAGTGGTACAACTTCATGCATACAGGCAGTGTGAATGTGAAGCATCATTATCATCATCATTAGGGGTATAAACCCCTCAAATCGTTTTGTGGGATTATGTCAAGGGCCAAGTGTACCAAACTCCTGTGCAGATGTCAGTGATTTAAAGACCATGATAACCAGAACCATTATCACTGTTGACATGAACAGGCTACATTTAGTAACAGTGTTAGAATACCGGTTCAATATGTGCCACCAGAGGTGCACATATTGAAGTGGACTGAACACAAAAAACTTTTTGAGTTTTGTGTTTGTATGTCAATTCAAAGCCATAACATAAAAGTTGGAAATTGTAAACTACGTATTGGGACACCATATATATATAGAAATACATGAACAGGAGATATGCCAGTTATTTCTCCTTTAGTTAATTACTGAAATAATAAAAAAAATTTGTATATTTATTATAGAATATTATGAGGTAAATTAATTTTGAATATGTGATTTAATATGGTAGAATTAATAAATCATTATGCTAATTCCAAGACGTAAGAAATGTGATGAACTGCAGAAGACTATATTGAAAAAATGACATCAATGAAAACATCAATGTCATTTTTATACCTCTAACATCTAAAATGTATTTAGGCCAGAAACTTTTGGTACCTACCATGTACTTCCAATCAAATATCTTCCACTATATTTCTATAAATATGTAAATTGTTTAATATATGAGAGATTGTAAAAGAGTAGAAACTTATAAAAATATAAACACCAACAGAAACCAGATGCATAGCAAATAGACACCTACAACTGCCATATTTACAGCAGTTGTGGGTGTCAATTTGCTATGCATCGGGTTTCTGTTGGTGTTTATATTTGTATTTTTATGCCTTGCCAGGTATACAATGGCCAACTGAGGGCCTTGAGTGGATGTTTCTGGACGAGAGCACTGAATGCATCTCCAGTTGGCACTGTAAAGTCAGCAACCGATGATGGTTATATCTTAAACTTATATATATTAAAAGAGGAGATCTAACCAGAGGTCTGTATAGTGTAACTGGCAACGCATCCACACGGTAAGTGGGAGTAGCAGGTTCGAGTCCCGCTTTGGTCCAATTCTTTTCTTCCAGTTAAATCTAAATTATTTAATTAAAAATTATAATTATTAATTTTAATACGAGATGGCACCTAACGCATTCTCCCAAGTGTCAAATTAATATGTAATTTATAATTATTATTTCCAAATTATATCCCAATTATTTATGGCAGTTGTGGTTGTCTAGAAACTTATAAATAAGCACTATACATATAACCAATATCCATCAAAAAACTACAACAAAGCAAATGATTTTGTGTGTGATGAAACTTATAAATTAATACCTAGTGGCATTCAGTTATTTCTAAATCTTAAAAAAACGATATAACAAGTGTGTGTATATATATAAATACAAGGTGCGTTTGAAAAGTTCGGTGAATGGTCCCATAGTTGAATAACCGTGCTGGTTAAGATGTTGTGCTCATGCAGACGTAGTGAGAGACTTGCCAACTAGTGGCCCCTAGTGTCAAAATCACAACAGTTAAACGGAAGTGTGCGCAACAAACAATGAACACAGTCAGTGTGAGAAGGAGTGTCACTGCGAAATGGAGCAACGCATGAACATCAAGTTTTGTTTCAAATTAGGCAAAATGGCGACGGAGACACATGAAATGTTAGTGAAAGTGTATGGTGTGAAAGCAGTGAGTAAAAAGTGTGTTTTTGAATGGTTTAAATGCTTCAGAGACGGAAAGGAAGATGTCGACGATGAGCCTCGTTCTGGTTGACCATCAACAAGCACAACTCCAGACAACAACAAACAAGTGTGACGGATGCTTGCGGATGATTAGTGCCTGTCAAGGGCTCACACTATTCTTGCTTATCTTCAAATCTTCTGCTATCATTCTCAAAGACAGGCACTGATCATCCGCAAGCATCCGTCACACTTGTTTGATGTTGTCTGGAGTTGTGCTTGTTGACAGTCAACCAGAACGAGGCTCATTGTCGACATCTTCCTTTCCGTCTCTGAAGCGTTTAAACCATGCAAAAACACACTTTTTACTCACTGCTTTCACATCATACACTTTCACTAACATTTCATGTGTCTCCGTCGCCATTTTGCCTAATTTGAAGCAAAACGTGATGTTCACGTTTTGCTTCAAAAAATGGTGCGTTGCTCCATTTCGCAGTGACACTCCTTCTCACACTGACTGTGTTGCATTCTTTGTTGTGCACACTTCCGTTTAACTGTCGTGATTTCGACACTAGGGGCCACTAGTTGACAAGTCTCTCACTACGTCTGCATGAGTGCAACATCCTAACAAGCATGATTATTCAACTATGGGACCATTCACCAAACTTTTCAGATGCACCTTGTATATATATGTATACAAGCATAAAATAGAAATTACAATTTCCAAAATTTAACATAGAATATTATCTAATATTAAATTGTTTTCTTTTTAATATTATGTACACGTTTATTAAATACAGTAACTCCCATTGATTCATGCTAATTATTACATAAGATTGTTTGGATTAGTAACATTGTATACATAGAAAAAATAAGTCAAGAAAGACTACTGATAAATTTCCCATTTTTAAAAATTAATTGAAATTGTTTTTGTTTTCAGTTAGCATATTTAGATGAAAGAAAACTATTGGTTCAGACAACCAAGTGCACCACACCCACTTATTAAGCACAAGAACATTGAGATAATTACTATACATTAATTTCAGTTTATTAAAAATCATATAAGCAAGAGTCTCAAGATGTCAACACCCAATTCCATCACTCACAAACATAGACTCCAAAAGTACATCATCTTTTCCAAGACTTTATGGAGACATTTTTAAGTGTTTTCAGGCCACTCCAGAATCAACGAAACAATTTTTTGACTAAATTTTCGATTATTATAACACCATCATATAAGTTAACAACAAACGTAAACAATAAATTTGTACACTTGTCCTATCCGGTGTAAATTTGCTTCATTTGTCAAATATAAAACTATTTCTTCTATACAAATGTGTCAAACAAAGTTCCACCATAAATTTGCATAGAAAAAATGAATCTTCAGTAGAGACAAATGTACTGGTTCAAAACATCAATCTACCAAAAGCATAGACTACATGCAGAAAATAGAATAATTATTATTATTATTAATTTGGCTTTGCTGTAATGTTAACTGAAATTATGTTTTAAAAATGCATTGGTATACTATATCAATGCATTTTTAAAACATAATTTCAGTTAATATATTATTTATAATTAACAATAATATAAAATACATAAGCATTTTTGAGATAAAAACATGTAGAGTGTAGTGTATTGTATTTGAAATTAACTGGTTAATAAACACTAAAATCACTTCTAAACATTTTGATTTTAATCTCAAATACTTTAAAATTGAGTTTCAGTTCTTCATTGAATGGGATGTAAACATGTCAGAGTAAAGCAGGTACTGTACATAAAACAATATTTTTAAACATTATCAGTAAATAATACAAAAAAATAATTACCAAGGAGTTCTAGATTCATTTTATGTTTCTTGTTTTCTTATAAAAAGTTTATTTTGTAAATTAAACCGATATAAAAATGAGAAAATATATTGTTTTCTTCTGCTCTCAAATGTGCGTCTACACCACCTGGCGGCAGTTTAGTTTATTTTCTAAAAAGTTAAAAAAATATTCAAAAAAAATTTTTTTAATAGAAATTAATATTTATTTTATATAAATTTTTTATAATTATATCAAATAAAAGAATAAAATATTTTAAATTAAATTCTTAATAAAATAAATTACAAAATGATTTCAAAACTACGGCGTCTCCGTTGCATCAATAAAGAGTAGCAAAATTTCTACATTATACTATTTCAGTATAATTTATAAATTATCTTATTACTCTGGGTAACCCGATATTGAATCCTAGCAGTTCTAAAACTCCTGAAATTTTTCGAGTGGTGGTCTGTCCTGGATATGTCGGGCCCCGTTCCTTAGCACGCTGCAGTCCTATTGTGATCCCGGAGAACCCGCGATGTGCTTTAAGAAAAGGCCCTCTTAGTCCTCACAGAACGGAAGAAGTAAAATATATAAATATATATACATGTATTATATATATAATTAATAGCTACGACAGTTGAGAAAAAAATATTAATTAACACCCTCATGGAAAAGTTGAATAACACCCTCACCACGCGTTATGCAATTTACCTATACGGATAAAATTCATATAGTTAAATCCATGGTTATCAGACATGGAATTTTATGGCGTTTTTGTAAGTCCATCTTTAATAAAAAAGAATTGCGGACCATTTCTTATGCTAATTTTCAATCTTGCATTGATTACGAATTGCCCATCTGGTCAATGGCTACACCTTTCCTTTTACATAAGATTACTTTTGCTATTAATAAGATATATCTTATGTTTAATTAACAAAATGTGTAATCTGTCTTTCACTGTTGACTCTAACATTGCTAGAATTCGCCATCTTTTTTTCGAGAGAATTAAATATTTTGATAGGTTAATATATTACAAATATTTTAATAGTCTTATTTATCAAGATTGGCTTTCACTCTAGAAAACTTCGCTCATCTACTTACATTTTTACTCTTTTTTATCTTCTAAATCTATCCCAACGATCTTTTTTCTATCGTATATCACAAAATCTTAATAATTGTAATGAATTTTTGCATCTTGATGTCCATGATTTTAAATTGAAATGTAAAAAAAAAAAAAACTCTGTATCTCTTTTAAGATTTGTTACTTGTTTTTATTTTATTTCTTTCTTTTTTTTGTTTTGTTTGATTTTGTTTTAAGGATGTTATTTGTTTTTATGATATATGTTTTTGTAGATTATCCAGACTTTTCCTATAAATTTAATGAAATAAATAAATTATATATAATTATCGGTGAAAAGTCAAACTTTCGATCCAACAACTACATAAAATTAAACCGAATATTAACGAAAATTTCATAGTTTTGGTGACCAATTTTTCTGTCGAGAAACTTCTACCAAAAATCGTCACAATCAGTTATAAACACAAAAATTCCTTTAAAAACACAGAAAAATATCCAATTAAAATTACAAAGTTAAAATTGGAACTGGCACAAAACATTCAAAAATCTGCAAATATTAAAAATGTACATAAGTGTGAGTATAAATTAGATTCGAATCATAGGTTTTAAAGGAAGAAAGAGCGAAAATATGTCTCTTTATTACCACTCGGATACCGGAGATGATGATCGATTGAGCCAATTTTTGGAATTTGGAGGATCGGACACAAAACGAATTTTACTTTAATTTTTACAGAAATAAATACATTCAATAGCTCTTGAAACATCATTTATTTGGTGAACGAATTGGAAGGTTTCTTGTAAAGCAACAGTTTTCTGTATTTTCTAGAGAGGTAGCAAAATACATCAAAGATTTCTGTTTAAGTTAGATTATATTTTTCAAACTGTAAATAATTTCCTGGTCCGATTTGTCAACTCGCGGCAACTGTACTATACATTATAACGCTTTCCCATTATTGATGGGCCATAGCCGAAATGAATGTAAAATGGAGCCTACATTCTATGGAGCTTCTGGATCTATAATAAGATAAGTATGGCAAACAACACTATTATAAAAACTTTTATTCTGACGGACATTATAAAAAGATATTACTATACCTTGGCTGTATTCGTTAATTTGGAAATAAGAATTCATTACCATTAACGATAATAACTTTTTCGACTTAGTGGAAAATCATTAAATACGTTTCGTCTCAATAGAGACGAAAGGTATTTAATGTTTTTCTTTTTTTTCTTTTTTTTTTGCTACACTGATATTACAGAAAAAGAAATCACACTTACTACCACTTTCAATTCAATGTGATAAGATGCTACATCTAGCAGACCTGGTGCAAATCATTAACTCAGTAATAAAGGTGGCACATAGAATCGCAAATGGAAAAAGCCTATACAATCGCAGAAGAACTCATTCTACCGGCTGCTGTAGATATGGTGAACATTATGATTGGTGAGTTTTCTGGGAAGCAGCTTTCAAAAGTGTCTTTGTCCAATAACACCATCAGTCGCAGAATACAGCATATAGCGAAGGACCTGTAATGTTCAGTTAATTGAAAAAATAAAAGGGTTTCTTGGATGAGGACAGATAATAATAATGATGCTCACTTGGTTTGCTATTTTTCGTTTTATAGATAGTAATAACATTGTAGAAGACCTTCTCTTTTATAAAACTATCACTGCTAGTGCTAATGCTCGCGACTTTGTTCGAGTACATGATATTTTTATATCGGAAAATAATTTGGAGTGGACCAAATGAGTTGATATCTGTATTGATGGTACTCGTTCTATGTCCGGCTGTTGTGAAAAATTGCGAGCACTTATAAGAAGCAAAGCCCCTAATGCTTTGCTTCTTATAAGTGGACCAAAATATCTGAGTTTTACGTTGAATCAAACCTTAGAATATGTAGTGAATGTAGTAAAATTTATAAAGACTCGGCCGTAAAAGGCAAGATTTTTCAAAAAACTATGTGTGATAGGGGATCAGAGCACATGTCTTTGTTGGCACATTTCACAGCACTTCGCGATGGCTCGCTCTCTCGTGATAATGTTTTGCCTTGTGTATTTGAACTATAACAGGAAGTTTATATTTTTCTCAAAGAGGAACCCCCCAAGTATATCGAAAATTTTGTGAATGAAGAGTTTTTGGTAAAAGTAGCATATCTATGTGATATTTTTGAAAAGCTCTGAATGCTCTGAATCTCTCTCTGCAGAGAAGTAACATGCACCTTTTAAAGTCGATTGAGAAAGTTTCAGCTATTATAAAAATTTAAAACTATGGTAAAGAAAAATAATTGAAGACAGAGGAAAAGAATAAAATCATTCTTTTCCTCCGTCTTCAATTATTTTTCTTAAGGTGCCTTGGGAAAATCTGAATTTAGCAAGGGCGTTGAGAATCGAAAAAGTTTAGGAACCACTGTATTAAAGAATTACCACATTCGATTAGATTCGTTTCTCTTCTGTCTGCCAGGAAGCGTTTTCTTTTTTTGGACAATTTCTGCTACGTAAGCTCTAAAGGCTAAACACATGCTGAAGCAGGATGCCAAGCAAACAGCTACGAACGTCGAGAGCAAACGAGCAATCGTTTATTGTAACATGGTCACAATGCCTGGCTGCAATTTTTAATCATATTATTTATTTATTTGATTTAAAATATATGCTCTCCACCTCAAATTAGTAGTGGCTTGCCCCTGTATATCATACTTTTCCTTTAACAATAGAGTCGTGCCGGTCATCTATCTAACTTCTTTCAGAGAAATTCAAAAGTTCGTATATAGTTAATCGAGGCCTCCTGTCCTTAAGCTTTCCATATATGGTCTCGGCTTTCTCCTATGTAACACCGTTCTCAAGATTAAGGAAAGACAGACGGATGGACAACAATGAGAATTTCTAGGTCTGCAATTTTTTCAAATTTCAAATAGGCTACATCAATAATAATAAAAAATGATAAATTATTATCGTGCGACATTGACGTCTCGAAATAACTTCTATTAAATACGTAAGCAATAATTAGAATTATCTTGAGAAACACTTTTCTAATAAAACTAAAAAAAATTATTCGGAGAAAATATAATCAAAAGAGGTCTACGACACAATAAATCAACACAAATACGTGAACACGTGTCATTGTTTTCTTAAAACGAAATTTCGGAACGATCGGGTGTCCTACTTAATAGGAAATTGGAGGCAGTTTTTTTATTTCTCCAAAAATTCCCCACGATTTTTCTTCAAAATCCAAGTGAAACTCTTACAAAATTATTTTAAAAAATATTAATTTTTTTTTAAATTTATTAATTCACGCGTAATTCTAATAAATTAACGCAATTATATTAGATGCGAATTTTTTTTATTTCTGTTATATTTAATGCGAACAATCGAATGCACCAAACCTTGAGACAAACCTACACGTGTAAGAGATGAAAGATATTTATTTTGAAAACGTGTCCTAGATTTAATTTTCGAAATCTTTTTAAATCTTTCCACTTGTCTGTCGTATTTTATTTAGAATTCACCCGAAAGCGTTTGCATCATTTCTACAAAAATGTCCACAAAACATTTATATTTTTGGAACAATGTCGAAATTGTAGTATTTTGTATTCAAATTCATCCGAAATGAGTGTCATAAATCATTTGGTTTGGGCCTCGAACCAGCAGCAGATTTATACTTAAGTTAAACAAGGGCATACACTTTATAATTCATTATTATTTGGTGCTGGGAAAGGGTATTTTACATTAATATATTATAGCTTAGGGCCTCGCATCCAGAGACTACAACTAAGAGTTTAAGGTAATAAAATTATTATTTTTCAGTGGAAAGAGAAGGGCCTCTTATATGTTACAGCTTAGACTATAACAAGTTTAAGTCTGGCTGAAATTCGTACATAGACAGGCCTTAAAAATTTATAATACGCTACTAAAGTAAAAAGTGGTATAAATTAGTCTTTTAAATGATGAGAAGTTTAATTTATTTCATGTATGTTTATGGCTTTCAGTGAAGTTCACCTTTATGATCTATCGGATCAGATTCGAATCCTGTGTACCTTCGTATTACAGCAATCGTGAATGA